GAGCTTTACGGGCGGGAGCGTTTCCTGAGGGGATTCAGAGCCCTGCGTTCGTTGTTCCTCCCCGTGGTCCCTCAGGAAGTCCTTGGGAAGCCGGGGAAAGGGAGTCCCGGCGGCGGGAGGGGCAGCGGGGACCGAGGGGCCCCGTGCCCCCCGAGGGGGGAGTCGTGGGCAGTCGGGTCTTGCTCAGGAGGAGCCGCAGAACCACGCGGGCTGCGCTGGCCCCGCTGCTCCCATCCACATCGCACTTAAAGAGTCAGAATACCCCGCCGCTTGGTTTTTATCCTGCTCCTTTATGTAGGGACGTGGCCGTTTAAGGATTATTCTGTGCTATGGAAACAATAGCTGTCAGCTTAGTGCTCCTCAGCCCAGTTGCAGCTCACTTAATGTGCTTTTTTTTTCGTATTGTGAGCAGACTCCTAATGAGGTTATGAAACGAGCCTGTGTCACAGCGAAGTCCCACCCATCTGCTGTGCTGCTGAGATAGGCCACCCATGATTGCATCCTGGGGAGACTGAGGTAGCTCCCTGCACTGCCATCAGCTGCTCCAGAGACACTCGCAGCTCCTTTATCTGTACTGTTAGGTGCCTGATAACCTTCAAGTTTTCCTCACTTTAAACCACTAGAGAAAGAAGAAAGGCCTTTTTTCCCCCGCCTCTTCATTTATCCCAAGAAGCTTTGCCAAAGGATATGTGCATCTGGGATAACTTCCTTCCCATTCTTGCATTTTCAGCCCTGTCCAAAGGAGATAGTTTGAGTGAGTACGTGGGAAACATTCCTGGTGTAAGTCCAGTAAAACAGGCAATAATCAGGCTGTTTTCCATTGGTTTTCCTTCTGGTGGAAATGTTTATGCTTCCAGACCTGTTAGTGTGATATCTCTTTGTACTCACAAGTAATGTTAAAGCCAATAGCATGTAATTGTAAGCCCTCTAAAGAGAAATGGTTGTGTTGAAGGTGTCGTGCTTCTTTAAGGCAGCAGGGGTTTATTTTTAGTAGTATCACAGACCACTAGGATGTTATTTCTTGATGTCTCTTCTTGTTCATCCATGACATGATTGTAAGGTTTCTCTTCACTGTTAGAACACAGAGTGAATTCACCAGGGTGTAGAACACGCTTCAATAAGCACTATAGAAGGACTGAGCAATGTATTCCAACTATTTCTCAGTGAAAGTATGGGAACTGGAGGAATATTTTAGTCTCTTTACAGCATTTCTTGTGAACTGCTGCTTTGAGTGCTGTGAGAGCATCGCACAAGTGTTTAGTAGTTATTTATTTATGACGCTTTCAGTTAACCAGCTGCTGGGTTTAACTGCTCTGGGATTCCTGTTGGACTACATGGGTTTTTGTTCTTAGTTGGTAAGAGGTGTAGCTCAAACCAGCTTTTTTGAGTTAATGTTGTACAGTAACAGTAAAACAAGTGTTCTGTGAAGAAAGCAAGCCAAATATCACAGAAATGTCAGAACCGGTCAGCTGCAGTCTAAGTCAGTCTTGGGTTTATTTTCTGGTGGGTGTGCTTCTTGCAGGGAAGGCACGGATTCCTGTTCAGCAGGTTTAAGTGCATTGATAATAAGGCCCTTTCACAGAAGTCCGAGGGCTCAGGTTTAAGCCAACCAACCAAACCCCAGCAACACTGTTCTACCTGGATTTTTTTGGATTCAGACACCACTTACAGCCTGGTCTAGATACAATGCACAGCTGGGAATCTCCTTAAGTTTTAGTGGTCCCAGCAAGTAGAAAGCTGACTAAATACCCCGTTTGCAAGCATAGTACAGGGCAAGGAAGAGAGGTTGGTTGTGGAATGCCAGCACTTTCTGGGGTGGTTTGGCTCTTTAGTAAAATTCTGATTCTTTAATCAAATGGCTTTTAAAAAACAGACGGTGGTGCTTATTATATTCTGTATATTTATTTTCAGGGTAACATCATACTTGGGACTAAGATATGGAAAACTGTGACGTGGTGAAAACTGCACAAGAAATCCCTTCATCTTCTGCAGACTCTGATGTCAGAAATACCCACAGCTCTGTCTGTCACTTGCATTGTAACAGGTGATGTGTTGAAGAAATTCCTGACAAATATTGTTATTTTCATTATGCTTCATTAGTATGCTGTTACAGTAGTGTTGTTACTCAGGTGAAATGATATGTAATACTCTGCAATGTATTTTGGGCTGTTTCGCATTTACAGGTGTAATATGTAATGAGAAAAGCTTTACTGAAAGAACTGTTAATTATTTCTTAAAAGCTTAGTAACTTCCGTTGCCTTGTGTCTTGTAGAATTGGGGCTGGGAACCTGTCTTGCACTAGTTATAAGAGCTTATTCTTTAGAATGATCATGCATTGTGCTGAGACCATGCATTGGTAGAGACCAGCAGCTTAGAAATACAGAGCTGTTTTTCTGTTCAATGCCTAGGCTATTCCCAGTCTGAATAAGAAGGGCAAATAAGGACTAATGGTCTAAGCGATAATAAGGAGAGGTTCTTCTTGATTGACCTATTAAGATGAGAGTTACAGGTTGCTTACTGCATGTGTAACTCCTCAGAAGGAGGCAGTACTCCCGGGCTTCATGAATCATAACACAGCAGCTTATGTTTGTGCACTTGTAACATCAGAATCCATAAGGAAGCACATGGGTTTGATGAAAAGCTGGATTTATTGACATTTGCACTAGCGAGCAGTAGTGTCTCTGCTGGTTATACTGCCTCTCTTCTAGGAAAGCTGTGTTTTAACAGTATGTGAGATAAGAATGAGGCATCCTGTGGATTCTTGGACATTTTCTTGATAAACATCTATGAACAGATCAGTTGTTATTTTTCCGCATGGTGAGGGTCACAGTGTAAATTAAGTGTGTAACTCTGTACAGCTTCATAGCATATGTAGTGTATTATTTTGGGCACTATACTGAGCAACTGGCACAATAAATAATTGAAATCCTTTTCCTTGTGTTTCACTAGAAGTCCCTCATCCAATCCCAATGGAGTTTCTGGTTACTCAGGGAATCCCAGGTCCTCATTAATGCCTGGTTCTGTTGAGCTGCTTGCCTCCTTTGTGCAAGATCTCCAGAACGCTGGAAATGCTGACTCAGAAATTGTGAAGAGCTGTGAGGTATTTCGTGTTAAGGTTTATTTTTAAAGACATTTGTATTAATATATCAGCTTTGTATTTTGGAAGATAAATCTAATGATACAGTTTAGCAGTAAGTTCTATGATGTATGTTTATTCCTCATGATGGGACAAATCCCTTTACAATGTATGGACTAATTGTGTGCATAGATTTTACTGCAATTTTCCCTTAGCTTTTAATCTTAGTATTACAAGACAGATGTGAATATTTTTTCCAGAGTTTCAATTGCAAGTTTTGAATGGAAAAAAAATGTAAACCTTTAAAATTGTCTCACTTCAAACTGGCCTGAAGTGATCCTGGAAATCAGAAGTTTTCTTTCTAAAACTGGCTCAGTTTTAGTTTAATTACTTATTTACTCCATTTGTAGCAATGTGATCAGTTTGTTTCCCCACTTAAAACAACCCCAAAGTCATGAAGTGGGTTCAATGAGTTAATTCTCTTGAATGCTTTTTAATGTTGTTTTTTGTCTTTTTTTTACTTTAAATTTTATCATTATATTTAGTCCCCATAATGAACATGAGGTTTCCACACCATGGCTTGTTCTTGCACAATGTTGGAGGTTTCTGGCTGTGGTCCATTGAACTGTCTTTGGCAGATGCTTAATTTGGATGTGCTTTAACAGCTCCGAGGAAGGAACAGAGGTGTCTGTGTCAAGGCACATACGTTCTATGTCCCGTGTCCTGTGCTTCAAGTATCAGGCTCCATAAAGATTAGCATAAAGTAGTTTTAAAATTCAGATTTTAACGTATTTTAGGAACCCTATAGATTTGACTTTACGTTCTGTTTTCGTTGTCACTAAACAGTTATGCATCATGGCCTTCAGCTACATTGCTGAAGGGAGCAAACAAATGGTTCACTAAACATAAGTATGTTTCATTACCAGGTTTAAAATTGTCTATAATTTACTGAACTGGAATCAACCTTTCCAAAATTGGACTGTACTTCACTGCCAGCTGTTTCTGTTTTTAAGTAATCTTTAATAGAATAACTCTCTTCTCTTTTTCATTTGTGATTTTTAAACCAAACTTAAATTGTAGTGATGTGTTTTCATGCTGTCTAGAAGGAGTTTGAGTGAATGTGTCCATAGTGAATTGTTCCCATTGATAGGGGGCTGTGTATGTCGTGGGGTGGAAACCACAGTGCTGCTATCAAACTTTGTATTATGTCAACACCTAAGTGTAAGACTGCAAAACTGTATTGTAGCTAGAGATGCAATATGACTGTGCTTTAATTATTGTACTTTGTGATTTAATAGACAAGGTGGCTACAGTTCTTGAGACTGGTAGAAAAACAATGTCAGGAACAAATAGTTGCCCAGCAAGAGCAGTTCCACCATCAAATTCAAGTAAGTAATGATTTGTTCATGTAGGTAGGTTAGACTGAACTTTTCTTCCCTTGCCCCCAACCACATTCCCCTCCAAAGCAATGCAGTATGGGTTCTGGCACCCTTGTCTTTTTCTGTAAGTATATTCAGACAGGCAGTTAATGGAAGTGGATAACTGGAATGCCATTTACAGGATGCTTATTTGAGACAGCCTTGGGTAATTAACAAAGTAACTGTAAGAACCATTCCAGAAGTGAATATTCTGGGATTATTTGTTTTCAGTTGTTTTGTTTTCACAAACGTTTAGTTCAGAATGCCCATAGGATAACTGGATTTTAGAGGTACAAGCTGGTTTTAACTAACTGTAAGACTGTATCATTTCTAATTTTGAGACATGGTAGTTTTCTCCTCATTCAAAGATGTTATGCATCTTGTCATTCACTCCTCTAGACAGTCTAGAGAGTAGGAAAGCATTCATTATAAAACCTGAATGCTTATTTCACCCTTCAGTTGAACAGTCTCCTTTAAGAATGAAAAGATGACCCAGGGGAATATTCACATTTTTGCTGAACCATATTTATCCATTAAAACAAAAGAAATGTCTATGTATGTATGAGACAGTGATTCTATAAATATATAATGCTTAATATCTTCATCATTTTGGTTACTGCTTTTCCCTTCCCTTTCCTGATGCCCTCTACACTAGTAGTAATCAACAGTTCCTGAACTGAATTAACAAGAGGTACTGTCCTTTTATCCTATCTCCTGGTTCTCCTCGTTCACCTCTTCACCTTCCCCCCCATCTTGTTATTTTTGTCCCACCAGTGTTTCCCTTGTATTTCCTTCCTCCTACTGTAGTGGTTTGATTCACTTGTTGCTAATCATAGTTTTGACTAAACCATTGTGTTGGCTTTGCTGTTTTGTTTCTTAATAGGAAAGGCTACCTCTGGAAGAGTTGTGTTTGTGGTATCAGCAGGGAGTTACTAACTGCACTAATTGCCACACTAAATATAAAATCAACAGCTGTAACTTGCTTTCAGTTATATGAATGCATTATATAAAACAGAGGGAGCTATTCCAAACTTAAAACCGAGAAATACTGCAATCCAGGCAACTCACTATGCTCTAATAAGAATACTAAAGGATGCCCCATCCCTGGCAGTGTTCAAGGCCAGGTTGGACGGTGCTTGGAGCAACCTGCTCTAGTGGAAGGTGTCCCTGCCCATGGCAGGGGGTTGGAACTGGATGAACTTTAAGCTCCTTTCCAACCCAAACCAGTTTGTGATTCTATAACAAATAATAATCTACTATTTGGGTAGAAAAACAAGATGCTGCATTAACATTGCTCTGTGCTGTGCTTCAAGAGCAATGTGCTTTAAAAATACATCTTAATCCATGTGAAAATAGGGATCAAGAGACCTGGAGTTCATTTTTGAATCAGTGGGGTCAGTCCTTGGCTTTGTGATTGGAAGCCAGGTGTGGTAATGGTGAACTGCCACCACCTGTGAATCACCCCAAGATCAGACTTTATGGAAGAGATTTGAAAGGAAAAAGAAGTTACCTGTGTTCCCAAAATTATAGAAATGTGATCTTATTTTCCCCAGGTCTTGTCTTCTCTTGGAATTATTTGTGACCATGCAAAGAGAAGTAAAAATGCTGTTTAATTTGAATAGTAGCCTTTCACTTTTCCCACCCAACACATTAATGACAAAGATTAAATCTCATCAGATTGTTTTTTTTCTCCTGGCAATTCTGTTCCCTTTTGTTCTCCCTTCCCTCCTTTGGCAGAGTTGAGTCACACAATCACAAAGTATTATTGAAGTCATAGTTGAAATCATGAGCCACTAACAAAGCTTATGGCAGAAAACTTTGACACTTGGGTGGAAGCATCAGGTTTTTTGGTGGTGTTATTTGGGGGATGATTTGGGGAGATCTTGTTTTGGTTTTGGAGGGATGGGTTCTGTTGGAAGATTGGGGTAGTTTAAGGGGGTAAGTTTTTAGTTTTTTTTGGGGGGGGGAGTGAAAATCACTAGTTAATAAAACCTAGGGCCTGGTTCTGACCAGTGTACGTGGAGGTTCCTCTGAAATTAAGCCTTACTTTTTATTTCTTTAAGAGAACACATGATTTTTGTCCAGCTTGTGCTTTCCACCTGCCATTCACATGAGTAATGCACTGGAGTTCTGTGAAAAACATTAGTAGAGTTCCACATTCTTAAACCACTGTTAAATCTAGTGACGTAACTAGAGGTTTGCTCCGCTCCATCAGATACCAGAATAATTCAAATGCAGATCTCTATTATATGAATAAATAACATATTATCTAAATCTGATATTTTAAAGTCGGGTTTGATGCAAATAATCTTACAGAGGTACATTATTCCTATTAGCATCATAGAGGAATGGTTTATACTTCCATTAAGCATCCTTGCAGTCTTTAAAACATATATCTAATTTATAGAATCTTTTACACTTAAATTTAGCAAAAGGCTTTTGTCCACTTCTAATGACATACCTGGATAGCTAATATTACCTTGGCTGGTTGGTAGGTAACTCTAGTTCTGAAGGTATGTAGTGAATACATGCATGCATGTTTTTTAACATTAATAAATGACTAGTGAGACCTGTGACTGCATGGATTTAAGAATTGTTGCCATGGACATTTTACTGTTACACATAGACCTACTTTATGCATGAGATGTCTACATATTGAAAAATCTGAGTCATTTCAGAGAAGTGCTCCAATTCTGTCACTGATACCATGATTTGAAGAGTCATCAAAGTTTAAATGTGGTCTGTGATATCCTTTCTTAGGAGTTTTGCCTTTTCTTTTCCCACAGCTCATTCAGGATGAGGTAAGGCAGTTGGCAAAACTGCAGAGCAGCAACTGGGGCACCGGCAAGAGCAGAAGTTTGCCCACCAAGCTCACAGACACTTTTTCATCACTAGGCAGTCAGATGGGGATGCATTCTGAAATCTTTAAAGAACATGAATGTGTTGTCAGTCAACTTGGATCTAATGAAGCGGAAAGTCAGCCAAATGCCTCTGACCTGCATCAGGAGGGTTTTGGAAGTGATGCTTCAATGAACAGTGGGTACGGTACACTTTCTGCCTCCGAACTGCACCCTGGCAGACTGGACAACACTACCAAGTGCACAGACTACATGGAGAAAACTTCCCAGGGACAGAGTGATGCAGCTGTAGCCAGTGTTCAAAATAAAAGGGAACTTTCACCAAGAAATAAAGAGGAAAATTGTTCATCGGGAAGGAATGATGCTTTAATTTTTCCTACTGATTTTGAACATAAAGTTGATGAAACTCAATGTGGAAAAAAAGCTAGGTAAGTGGTCAACTTTCCAAATACTTTATTGTGGGCAGTCACCATTCAATAAATAGCTGTTGGTAACTGGAAACATTTCAGAATTGAATGGAACATCTTGATTGTAAAACATACTAGCAAGAAAAGACCCTGCATTTACGTTTTGGTTTAGTTTTGTGGTTTTGGCTGGTATCTGCTTGAACAGACCAAAACATAGTTGTCTGAAGCTCTTTGTTAGGACTTTTTTGAAAGGAAAGCTGTTTTACTGGTGGTTGTGTTTCATTAGCGCCTTCCAGTGATTTCTTTGTGTTTTGAGTTGTTTTTTTACCTTAAAAACCCCCAAACCAAAACCCTAAAGCATTTAAGCGTTCATCACTTCATATTATTTCTCAAAAGTGCATGAAGGCAGTGGAGTTTTAGTGCCTCTGTCCCACCTTGAAGAAGAAATTTCCTGTAGGGATCATGTCTCCACTGAAAAGGACTTACGTACTTAAGGTCTGTTTGTTTGTTCTTCTAGTAAATCTTTAACATCATGGGCACAAAAACTGAAACAAAACCAACCAAAAAGAATAAATGCAGATGAAGTGTGTGTAAACTCTATGCAAGAAAATGAGAAGGCAAAGAAATTACCCCATCAGAATGTAAGTCTTTTTATGTTTTTCTAGTTTGATTCTTGTTACTGGTATTTTTTCAGCATTGTAGTGGTTTCTGATTCAGCACATACTTTCATACTTGCTTTAAGCATTTGAGTATGCTGTTACCATTCATATAGTAAGTTCTAAGTTCATGTGGTTAGAGTTTACTTGTTGTATCATTCTATACTTACATATTTTGCCTTATTTTATTCCTTACCTAATTTTTGTGTTCACTTACCTAGGTAGCACTTGTTCTTTCCTCATAGAGATAATAGTTACATTCTCAATTGAAGCTTCAGGTCGTGGTCATTTATTGTGCCCTGTAAGTTTTTCGAAGGATCCTGGATTTCAAGTTTGTGATGCCACCACTTTAGAACTGTTTGTAGTACCACCTATTGCCGTGGCTGCTGAAGCAGCTCAGAATGCCTCTTTTGAGCACAATTTGATTTCTGCTTCCCCATATTCTTGAGTTAATAATTCTGTATGTCCACACACCTCATTATTCTGGGGAGAGAAGCTTAATCACATATTTCTGATCCAAAAGGTTGTTCTGCAAGGTGATTGTGTGAGTAATCATCATACATGTAACTATGAAGTTTTAGCATTCCTTCCAGTATATTGTCACAAACCTCTCTCCTTATGCTAATATTAAGGAAAGAATTGAAACTCTGTTAATGGCTCTCCTTACAGGAGATTAGGAGAACTAGGAAATATGAATCAGTTGATTCAAGGCAGGGTTTGTTCTCTTTCCTGTGGTCACTCTGAGGGTGATCCAGAAAGAGTTAAGAGTAGCTTACTCTGGGCCTGCTCTCTAATCTTCTTCCATTGTCAGTGGAAATAATATGTTCCTCTGAGGGGCTATTTCAAACCAGGAGTCACATTTATCTGCTGTGGATTGTTTCTTTTCTCTCTCTGCTACAGGAGGATGCATAAGGAAATTAGTGGCAAACTCAGATTTTGAAAAAGCCTTTATCTTTCTTTTCCTTTGTGAGAATTCAGTTGCTATTCCTTCATTTTCCTTTCTTCCTCCTTAGGCAAAGGAGAATACCTAAATAAAACATTAAGAGGGACAAAATAGCCGTGAGGTGAGCTGGTGCTTTGTGCAAAAACTTGAAAAGCTTTAGTTCCATTTCTTTTTTTCTTACTGACTTTTGTTAATTCAATGGTTTCTATCCTGGTTTAGTCCTCAGTTGTATGAGCTGTATAAATTTGCCAAGGAGCATGGCTGTTAAGCTTCTGTAATGGAACAAAAAGCCTCAAGTATGGTAGAAAAGAGCAATGTGAGATGACTGTTTTAAAGCTAGCTGCACTTACTCAGTTGCTCTTGTATCACTGTGTTGTGATTCCTTGATTAAGGAAGAGGAGAGCTGTGGCAAATCTTAAGTGATGTCCATTTTTATCCCCTGTGTTCGTCCCACTCTTTTCAAAGTGGTTTCTTTGATTACCTTTGGTGGTCGCTTAGGAAGTTTGGAGTGATGAGAAGAAGTGTATGTAGTCTCTTGTGTGTCTTGGGTGCTGATAGACAGCATTTACCTGTAGATTTGTGGTAGGAGGAATCATAACAGCTCAGTATAAGCAATTCCAGCCTTAGGAGGAGGAAAGAGTAATGCTTTACTGGCAAGTCACCCCTCTATATACTTGCACCTGCAGCAAGGAAGTTTAGATGACTGTACAAAATGTGTATTTTTGTAACAGTTAATCTCAGAAATGCTCCACAAGCAACAGGCACATGACTTACAAAACATCAGTGTCTTTTAATTGAGTGGCTTAGTTTAGTTCCCCTTTTGCCTGTGGTTCCTCTGAATATAAATGGCACAGGTTTGGATTGTGCTGTATAATGAAATATAATCCCTTTGCTTAAAAAGACTAACACCACTTCCATGCAATTAGAAACAGTTATACCCTTGCCTTTTTTCCCCCCCTTGCTTTGTGACTTTCCTTATAAATTGTTCCTCCTTTGTGATTTTAGACAAACCTTTCTGATGCTGCTTTGCCACCTTACACTTTTTACCTCAATCAACCGAATGAAAGTCCAAATTCCTTAGTGTCTGAAGCTTCAGGTATAGTTAACTTCTTGTACTTACATTTCCTTTTCTTTTGAACTCTTGTTTTTTAAAACTCCTCCTAGGATGCATTTCTGATAACCCTGGGGAGGTGAGGAGGGTTTGTGCGCTGGCAGGCTATTAAACTTTGATATAGTATAATCCCGCTTTTCTTCCTCTTGCGTTTCGAACTGATGGAGTTCCTGTGTGTCACTGCTGGCGGATGTAGGATGTGCAGCAATTTTTCTCTTCAAATTCCTCAGTGTTTCAAAGTTGAGCTTTGTCTTTAAAACTGTTTCATAATTTAATTACTCTTAAAATCATGTGGTATCAAATAATCTTTCAGATATTGGCATCATTGGTCAATAGTAGTCACAGGAGTGCCTGGTGATAGAGGCAGAATTCCTGTAAGCCAAGGGTGTGATTGAAGAATTGTGTTAATAAATAAGAATGGGATAATGCAGTGTGTAATGTGCCAATTCTTTAATGGAGGGAGGTTGCTTTTTTAGTGTTTTGATAAGATTTTAATTCCACTGTTTTGGGGTGGTTGGTGCTGGTTCTTTGTGGGGTTTTGTGGGACTTGTGTTTTCTTGGGGGGATGTGGGGTTTTTTGTTTTATTTTGGTTGTTTTTTTGTGAAAACAAACAACTAATTCACATATTTTGATTGTGACAGGATGGATTCATTTGAGTAAGAAACAGGGGCACAGAGATGCAGCCCTGCAAACTGTGTATCTATTGCTTCTGCACAGCCCATTGAGAGAGGGACACATATAAGAAATTGAAGTGGGGTTAAGACTGTATCTGTTCCTCGTGTGCCGTCCCTCTTAGTCCTGGTAGTCTCGTCTCTTTGCATGCTATAGAGTGCTGTTGAGTAGCAAACTGAAGTTTGTGGTATCAAGTGGCTGCCTGGGATTATTCCAGGGTAATACAAGTTTTAAATGCTATAAATGGAAAATGGTAATATGGTAAATGAGGATTTTTGCCTTAAATATCAAAGAGTAAATCTACGTGGTTTCACTGATTGATAGCTGTAGTTACTGATGCTGTGTGATGTGATGCTGACCACGTTGCCTGTGCTTTGCACTGAGATTTTTCTAACTTCTGGTAACAAATGCTTTACTGAGTTCCTTAAGAAATAGATGCACATAATTAATACAGCATTTTTGCAAGCTGCCACGGTAACATTTACTAATGGATTTTGGGATTCCTGTTTTATAGCCATGAGCTTGGAATTTGTAGTTTTCTATTTATTATTTTCTTTCAATGTTTCTTTTTACCAGGACTTTCATACTGGAAATTAGATGAGAAGGAGATGTATCACCCTTTACCAGAGAACTTCAGAAGTGAGTTTGCTGATATTTTCTCTACAAAAGCATCACCAGAGCAGGTAAACATTGTGTGTTAATAGTTGGCTGATAGTTGCTTGTTGTCTTTGCTTTTTTTCCCTACAATGTAAAGTATCAGTTCTCCAGAAGCCAGCTTCTTTGTGAGACTCTTCTGTTAACTCAGTCTTTCATGTTCTGTTCCTTCATTATCCATTTAACCCCACTAACAGCAATTGACTGACCTTTTGTCACCTGCAAGAAACTGTGTGTATAAGAGTTGAGAAAAGACTGACTAGTACATTAAAGGTGTATGTCCCTCACTGAAGACCCTTTTTTAAACTGGATATGCTGAATAAAGCCTTTTCCTGTTCTGAACGGCTTTATTAGCTAAACCCACCCCAGAACTTGCTTATCTATCTTGGGGATGGAGAATTGTGTTCAGGAATAGTAATGTTGCAATTTTCCCTGTTGAAGTCGTCTTCTGCTGATGAAACCAAGTTATCATCATTGAAGGATATTTATCATAAAAGACAAAGGGAAAACAAGCAGCTGCCAGACCAGAATTTTATGCCTTCTTCCCAGTCAAGTCACCCACCAGAGGTAACATTCATTTCTTTACTTCTCATCTCGGTTTGAAGGTAGGATGAGTTACAGGCTGGTTTCTCATTAATTGGCCCCTGCTGCCACCTCCAGTTTTATGCTGGTACAGCAATTTGTGCAGCCATGATGAACCAGAATGGGAAGGGATCCAGCTGACAAGTCCTCCAGAAACACCCTGGGTAAACAAGCATCTTTGCTGCACAACCTTGAGAATGGTGCAAGGATGAACCTGCTTACGCTGAGGCTGCAGCTGATGAAATGCAGATGGAACTGCAGTCACAGGAGCAGGGTTTTCTTACTGCTTCCCACAGGACGAGTTCATTGCACCCGTGAAACAGAAGAGGCAGAGGTTGTGTAATTGTTCTTTATCGTATCTGTTTCTTTATACAGCTTTCAGTCTTGTACAAAATCCAGTAATGATGCTTCTATGTGACTATCTTGTTTATATAATCCATGAAGTGATTTTTCATAATGATACAAAGTTATTGTTTCAACCTACAGGCAGACATCAAAGTTCTTCTATTTACATAACTGAAAGGTCAAAGCATTTTTAGACAACTGCAGATGTTAGATATGTCTTTTATTCTTAATGGAAACCTAGAAACTCAAGTTGCAAACATTGGGAATATGCATCATCATCTAAGCTATTACATGTCCCTTCATCTGGCTTGTCATACCAAATTACTGTAGTAATTGTAGTAAATGGTTGTGGTTATTCATTATAATTCCTGCAATACGTTACATGGATTGCTGATGTCTTCAGATAGACTCCATTTACAAGAACAAAAGTGAAATCACAGGGTTTTTTAGCATTGTAACTTCTTTCCTAGATCTTGACATTGGACCCAACCCTGCACATGAAACCAGGGCAGCAGAACCCAGGACCCCGTTTTATCAGTATTCCTGAAGAGACTGCTCCTTTTTCTCCAGACTCTATGGCAGAGCCAGGATTTTCAAGTCATTGTGACACAGACTCTTTTTCACAGACAAGTAATTCATCTCAGTTAAATGATTCTCCAAAGCATCTTGCCAGCAGCAGAGCTGCACGTTTGGACCTCTGGAGAAATCACCCGTTCCAGAATGAAAACAAGACCAGCTCTCCCTTTCCAGTGGCATATACGGATGCTGACAATGATAACTTAGTCAACACTCAGGAGGAAGAAACACGAACTCTCACTCCATCTTCTATTGCTCAGTGTGCTGACAGCAGTTTGCCAGAATACAGCCTTTCAGTGACATCTGTTGAAGATCCTGTGATAATGTCAAAGTAAGTAATGTTGGTTGTAATGTAAGTAAGTAATGGTTGGTACCTTCACAGTACTTGTGAAATGACCAGAATATGAGTTCTGTTTGCTTAGAACATAGCTGCACATTGCTGCTATTTTCCTTTTCTCCTCTGAAGTGCAGATGGCGTCATTTCCCACTTCTTACAATTGTCTTTCTTTAGACTGTTCTATTGAATCTTCTTCAGACCATACTATTTAATCCTAAGGCACAGTATTTGTGTTCTGTCTTCCTTGGATGTCAAAGCCTTAACTGGAAGGCAAAGCAATTTCCTATGTTTTATTTGGTTATGTCTTTTTATACCTTAAAATAAAAACCCATACTTCCCTCATAGGTTGTATGAGGGAGTTAATACAGGCAGAGAATTTCCAAGTTCTGTGGGGGATGTATTTTTCTATCTTAGAGGCAAATGGTGGGAGAAGCATAGAATTACTGTACTCAGGAAACATAAATATCCCCCATTCACCATTGAAGCTCTTGGGAGTTGCGCATGGATAAGCAGACATGGCATATTCTATGTGTCAGGGCTTATGTCAGGGTCATGGTTCAAGATAGTTCAGTGTTTTAAGGTTTCCTGTTAAAATTTTACGTGCAGTTTTTAGTGCATAGCAAAGGAGGGAAGAGAGACTAAAGCTTTGTATTGTATTTGTATATAGTAATACTTGTATTAATGGGGAGACTTCCATGCAAGCCTTGGGTGTCTGACACCACTGCCTTAGACAGTGAGGCTTTCTTTAATTTGAATGCAACAAAGTTCTGTAAGAGAGGTTTATAGGCTGAGTTCATGATGTGCAAATGAATACAGCAGTGCATGGTCATGTGGATAGCTGGAAACCTTTTCTGTTCTTACTTTTGAAACTAGGATTAGGCAGAACTTGAGGGAAAAACACGCTCGGCACATAGCTGATCTACGAGCTTACTATGACGCTGAGATACACAGCTTAAAACAGCAGCTAGAGGCAAGCCATAAAACTGCTTCATCCGAAGACTTGAAGAAAATCAGTCAAAACCTTGCTGACAGGTACTGTTTGTCTTTGCTTGTCCTTTTCCTCTGTGACGTGGGATTCCTTCCACTTCCAAACCTGAATATACTTGTTTAGAATAGCTTGAAAAGTTTGTCACTCTTCAATTCTGAAGATTATTTGCATCTATGATACTAATATTTTCCTATTAAATATAAATCTTGTGTTATTTAATGGAGCTGTTTAAGATCACTTTAAAATCATTATTAAGCAGCAATCATGATGTTTGAACCAGACATCTTTTTTGACCTGCTTTTTGCTGAAGCTAGCATAAGTTTTACTCAAGAGGGGCTGTCAGGCAGAGGTTGGCCTAAGCAATTTGTAATGGAACTACCTGTGTTGTAAAGTAGTTCTCGCCTGTCATGCTTGTGAGCATCATCATCCTTTATCTTTCACGTTAAAACCACAGTCTTGAATTCATTGGTAGCTTTATAAACTCACTTTGCCAGTCAGTGCTCTTTGACCAGCTATTACTACTGTAGCCTGTGTGCCTAACCTAAATATTCCATTAGACATAGCTTGAATGTTTGCTATATAGAGAAGTTTTTATATAAATTATTTGCCAGTCAAATATTGTCAATTTAGATAGCTAAAATACTTACAAAATCAATGCCCTTTAGAATAATTGAAGCAGTATCTGGGTAGCTGGGACTCTTTTGTACTTCCCTTCCAGCAGTAGTGTGCTAACTACTAGAAGTGACTTCTGAGCAGTCATTTATTGAGTTAAAGTAGCTTGCGGTATGATTGCAGCTATTAATTATCACACAGCATCACCAGCTAGCTGAAGCGCAGCTCTGCTCTGGTGCATCTCAGCTGCTTTTGGTCTGCAGCTCTTATGCTCCAAGCCACGCTGAGTCTCTGCAGGTGTTTCCAAGTTGGTGCTTGCCCACCATGAGCAGAGATGCTGTGCGCTCACTGCAAAGATTATGGGAGAAGGTCACAGGCTAGGCACTGAAATTCATGGGGATGCCTGAAGAAGGAAAGAAAGCTATGAAATTTATATTTACTTTAAAGTTTCAAGGGATGTTTGTGATCTGTATGTTCTGAATAGGTGTGACCAATTAGATGCAGCTCTGAACGAAGCAAGTGCTCGCATAAAAGACCTTGAAAATAAGAATGCTATGCTGGAAAGGCAGGTGGTAAGTATGTGTTCTTTTTTTTTTTAACTAAAAGGGTAAGAGAACGCACTTGTTCATTACTAAGCTGATACATGTTTCTGTATCTTCATCTTTTTATTTTCAACCTTCCTCCTTAATATATGAATCAGCCAATATGTTCCACCAGTGACTTTCCTAGCTGAGTTTCTTAGACTTGAATCATCATCGCTTTTGCTTATGAACAGCCTTTTCAGGTTAGCAGGGATCAAACAAAGCTTAACAGTGAAATGCTGTGATTTGTACATGATGTCTCTCTTTAGATATTAGGTTTTTTTAATATATTTATTTAGCTTTAATTACTTTCTCTGATTTCTTAGAGCTGTGATAAGAACACGTCTCATCTGCACTGAGGCAAAACTATTCTAAGGATATTTATACAGTTGTTCTGACCAGGTCAGACCAGTTTGCCTACGGCTGCATAGCTGCATTTACTGGTCAAAGAACAGGACACTTTGTCATCAAAGTTAGATACCCAGAGAGACTTTTTTCCATGCTGGGAAGCAAGAGGCTTAACTTCTAGATATATTAATTCCTGTAAAATAAATAACATCTTTTGGGGGTTTTAGTCTTCATTTGCATTCTTTCTACATCACAGACATGGGCAAAACTCTTAAGTTCATATACAGATGTACCCTTGTTTTCTATTTAGATGAATTTAGATTATGCTTTGCACTGAAGTGAAAACAAATCCTCCAGGAAGCATAATCAAGAACGTGTATTTCCCTGCAGGCAGACTGGCGAGACCGCTTCTACACGGTCAGTCATAATTCCAAAGGTTTGCAGGAACATATGGAAGAGATGCGCACAAACAATAAGGAGAAGGATAACACCATCAGTCGGCTAAAATCGAGGCTTCAAGATCTAGAGGAAGCCTTTGAGAAAGCTTACAAGTTATCTGACAATAAAAACACGAGGCTGAAGGAAGAAAATAAAATGTTTCAAAATGTAAGTAAGCAAAGGGGTGGTGGTGGTCACAGTTACACAGTGGGTCAGGAGCACAGCACCTCCTGCTTTGTAAAACTGCTCAGAGTTTAGCATTGTGAAGGCTTAAGGCACCATTAACAAATTATTCAGCTGACTACTTAGTAGGCTAGGTGTTAGGTGGTACTATGGATCTATAGATATTCAAGGTAACAAGGGTATACCTGGTAACACTTCTCGTAGTCTTTCATGTATTTTATGCCTGTGTGTGCTATTAGTTCATTTTATATTTAGAGGTATTGCAGGAAGTTGGTTTAGAAGGTTGTTTTTTCCCTCTCAGGTTTAGTGAGGATGGACTGAATTTCTCATAAGTCACCACAACTTGCTAGAACTCTTTATCGTGTATGATTTTAGACTGAATCAAAGGAGTTGTTTCACTGATTCTTCAGTAATAGCTTTGTGGAATGTTTAAAAGGATTGGCAAAATGAGTGTTAGTTGGAAAAGCTACTTCATGCTTTAACTCCTTTTTTACAACTAAGATTGCAAAATGCAAAGTCAGCTTTAAAGTTAGTGAATAATTTTACCAGTTCAATCAGTCCCTTCAGGTTCTTTAGAGATAAATAATTTGAGCATTGGAAATATACTGTGTAAGTAGTTCAGTTGTTCTGTTCTGTCTGTAACTTTTTGTTCCGATTAGAAGACGCTAGAACTTAACAAACAGTATTGAAGTACATTCTCTATCCCCGGAGTGCTTCTGCATGGGGTAGACAAACAATTCAGATGACAGCAGTCAACAAAACTGTTAATTGTAAATGGTCTCAGTGTGGGTTTGTGTGTTCTTTTTGTTTTAGCTTTTAGGAGAATATGAGTCCCTTGGAAAAGAACATGAAAGAGTAAAGGTAAGTACACACTAGTTAATTGGAGAACCACGCGTGTGAAATGTGTGATAATGTGCCATAGAATTAACCTCAGTACTTTGAAAAATATCAAATGGAAAGATCCATATTTATTTTACCTGATAGTTTCTTACTACGACTTCAGAGCCCTGCAGTGAAAAGGAGGGAGTTTGGGATGTATTGGTTTTCAGTGATATACAGCAAAAGTACTGCAGACTCAAAGCCATCAAATTGAATGGGCCTCCCTTTCAAATAGGAAGGTGTATTTGATGTATTGTTTTCAAGGCTGATGTAGTTACTCTGGTGTTTTTCTTTTAATACACTTTGTGCCTTCTAAGGTTATTACTTTTTTTCCTTGTGTACTTGTAGGATACGCTAAATACAACCGAAAACAAATTGCTTGATGCAAACACACAGATATCTGATTTGAAAAGGTAAATGTGAAACTGTCTTCTTACTGTTTTAACAATATGAAATGCAGGCAGCGATCTATATATTTACTCCTAGGTTATGAAGTCTGTAGATCTTGCAAGTTTAATTACATCTTATGAATCATTTCATGTTGTTTTATGTTACTTCATACATACTGTAAATGTCTTATTGTTTTAGGTACATGTGTTTTCTGCTTCCTCCATCACAATGGCTTCCCATGGGATGTAATGATTTGCTTCCTTTCTGATGGTTGTCACTCAGATAACCCAGCCAGGCTGCTGCTGAAGCCTTTACTCCTACAGTTGTACACTCAGGAGCCCCATCTTCAGCTAACCGATCACTGTTCTGGTTTTCAGAAGTGAGGATGCTGACAGGAGTTTGCTAAGATTATGGCTCCTAGGCATTAATAATGGACAGAAAGAATAGAAAGAATAAATAGGAAGAGTTTAAGAAAGGAATAGAAACAAGCCAAAACCACTCTGCTCTCAATTTTTATTGGGAGTGTTGAGGGAATGAAGATAGTATGAAGGACAGCTGAAGTATTTCTGTTGGCACTTCTATTTTCTTCCTGCCTGATTCTCAGTGCTGCTATTTAGGAACCATTTCAGGCTGGGGAAATTTTAGTGGAAAAGCAGATTTTTATATCCTGCTCCAAAAACCTGTATTTCTGTTCTCCAAGAGGGAAATGCCTAAGACTGTGTTGCATTGCCAGGGGCTAGCTCAGTGAAGATGTGAGCTGCAGTATGTGAGGGAGATGAAAATCCTGTGAAGAGCCTGAGCAGCAGATTGGTGGAGTTACCTGAGTGACATAGGAGCCACTCATTAAATCCAGTCAGGGAGCCTCTTGTATAAGTACAGCATTTCAAGGAGGAAAAATGTTCTGGTTTTGTTTTTCCCAGCCCCTCCAAGGTGGATGTTTTGATCCACAGCAGTATCTCCTGGTCCTGTCTTTCTAGCTAGGTTACTTACCTTAGAATTCAAATACATATTTATATGTGTATTTAGATAGGTATAAAAATGTAGTAGTTGCTCTTGTTCTTCTGCTTCATCAAGGATATCTGATTGGAAAAGAGTAGACTCCAAGAAATATGGTGTATCTTCTATGTCATTTAAATAATCTTATCATGCATCTTTTCTACTTCCACATTAGGACCATTTCAAAACTTGAAGCTCAGCTCAAGCAGGTAGAACATGAAAACATGCTGAAACTTCGACATGTAACTGAAAGTCGTTTCAGAACCTCCTGTGCCAAGTAAGTGAATATTCCAACCGTGTGAAAGCAGACCATGTGGTTTAGACTACTTTTTAATGTGATTTGGATAAAAACGGATCAAGATCACGTCAGTCCATAGGCCAAACTGGATTAAACACGTGACGTAATCCAGAGGTTTTGCATGCCAAGAAAGTATTAAAAACAAATACACACTTTGGATAATGTATGTATGAGTTGGCAGACTGTTTCAAGTCTTCCCAGATGGGTGTTTGATAGGTCTCAGCTGAATAGGGATTCCAATGCTCAACAGAGATCTTGGGAATAGAATCTAATAGTTCCATTGGACACTGGAGGTTTTCCTTGTGTGTTTGTCACTGCTTTGAAGAGCTGATTACTACTTCTTATGTTTCTACATACAGCTTGTACAGGTATCTGGGGAGAATGGAAGTTAGAATTAGTTAGGATTTGAGTGGAATTAGAATGCATACTATAGTTTGAATTGTGGATTTAAGTTAAGAACATTAAAGTTGAGTTGTGTCCTGTGGTGTGTTTATGTGTGGTTGTTGTTGGTTTTGGGTTTTTAAATGTTTTAAAGGCCTGAAAACTTTTCCCCCCTTTGGTTTTTCCTTGTTACTTAGTTATAGCCTCTTTGGTGTCTCCCAGTTCATTACAGATGTAATATGTCTGTAGATGTCCACTTGTATATACTGAACAGCAGTATTTGGGGGGAGAATCTGATTTTTCATTAGTATGAAGATACAAGTAGTTTATGATGAATATATTACAGGACTGATTTCTGGGGGAAAAAAGGAATCAAAACCTTTCCTAATTCTGAAGTGTTCTGGTCCCACAGCAAGTTGGCAACTCCTGATGTCAGCAGGCGGAAGTGGTTGATACCAGGAGCAGAGTATTCAATCTTCACTGGCCAGCCTTTGGAAGTGCGGGAAAGCTCCAAAGATAACAGACTAGAAGAAACCTATATTCCTTCCAGGTGAGTAGGTTTCCTTCGGTATCCAACACCTTTAGGAATGCAGAATTGACTAGATTTGTATATTTAGAGTTTTTTACTTGTTTCATAAAATTATCAAAAAATTCTCCATGTCATAGATGTTCTACAATCCCTTAAGAATGAAATCACCTTTCCTCACCAACAAAACAAGGAGCAGCTTCCAGTACCTTTCTTGGAATATCAGAAAGCTTCAACTGCATCTTGTGTCACTTTCTTTACATGTTTTTGTCCAACTCTACTCTGGGTTTGGACACTGTGTGCTCTGTTGTATTGGATGCGAGTGGTAGCAGTTGGCTGCAGCTTTCCACCAGTGAGAAGCTTCAGGTGTAGTTTAGGATGTAATGTGGTAGTTTTCCTTCTTACTTAGGAGTTTCTAAAGCCTCTGTCAAGACATACTTAATTCTAAGAACGTATCAAATCACTGAATTTAACTCGCACCTTAACTGGCAGTAACACAATCTTCTGATGTCCTTGGCTAAAACTAAAAAGCACCCTTAAAATTCTAGGTTTGATGACTGTAAATCTCAAACAAAATTCCTCCATTTTTTTTGGTTTATTGAGCTACTGTTTGGATATATGAAATAAAGTAAAACTACTTGATCAGTTCTTTTCCTTTCCACTGCCTCATATTCTTTAAGGCACCATTCTCCTCCGGAGAAAGACTCCTCACAAGAAGACTCTTCAACAACCACATCAGAAAAGAAAGAAATGGAGATGTCAGAAGCACCAATTATAAAAGCCTTTAAAGAACTTGAAGAAGGAAAATCATTTAAAGATTGGGGTACACAGACAGAAAAAGAAGATGCATCAGCTAGTAACTTTAATTTTCATATTCCTGAACTTGTCTTTACTGGCTTTTCTTTGGTTGCATGTCCTTTGGTTCTGTTATTCTTGGCATTCAAGTCCATCAGGCTTAAGTGACGGCATCAAAACAGTTTCAGCATGCAGACTTCTGGAGTTTTCCTAAGAAAATTCAATATCATGCAGCTAAGTGACTTGTTTAACATAGAGGGAATGCAGAGGTTGCTGTTAAGTCTCAAGCTGGAGAGTAGCTCATGTCCTTTTTCTAATAATATCTCAGTATTTATAAACAGTTAATGGAGTCCTAGCAATGCCCTGGCTGGCTGTACATCCATTATAGTTTTGTTCTCATGGTGTTATATCACAGTGTTACTAAGAAAGCAGGCAAATATACTGTAGGATTGCACAGAACTGTTCTAACTACCTTGATTTAGAAAGCTTTGTAATTAGATAACACTGAGTTTGTCTCAAATCCTTATATTCTTGGTTCAGGCAGGTACTCCAGCCCTCTTTCCCAAAAGATGTTTTTGTCTTTTCTTCCACTGGCTCTATTAAATCAGTGTTATTTAGCATTGTTTCCCCACACTTGCTGCAAAACATCCTTTCTCATAAGTTAATCCATCTTTCATGAGTACGATGAGCAGGGAGTAAGACTTGAGCAAAACATGCTGATGTCAAGCAGACTATAAGTGCAGTCTTTGTACAGTCCAAGCTGCATACAGAATATTTGTGGTTTCTTGTATTTAAAAAGGTATTATGTTAATCAATCTTTTTCTTCTTTTTAATTTAGAAACACCAAATCGACGTCAAACTGTTGGGTTTGTTGAATCTTCTTTAGTGGCTAACCGATCCCCAGAGAAAGGGAAAGACCAGCACAGACCAAAACGGTACAGCTCCCCTTCTGGCCAGAGGTCATCGTCCCTTCCTCCTCCAAACAGGAAATCAAATACTCCAAGTCAGTGCTTTTCTGAAGTTTGGTTTGTATTACTCAAAAGGTAGAATCAAATAATGAGAAGCTGCTCTAGAAGAAAGAAAAATAAAGATAGAACCTTCTGCCTTACTCTTAACAGTAAAAGTAAAAGCTTGACTGTAACTGTAGAAAACATGAGAGCTCTTAAGTTTATTTTAACTTCTCTGTGTTGTGATGCACTTTTCATCTAATTTAAATAAACATGTAGACAGCTTTGAAAAGCATTTGTTTAAGATGTAAGCCTCTGATCACATGAGTGGGAGATGCTGCACTGGGAGATGTTTGAGGTAGTTAAACATCCTTTGTCCTTTGCAGCAAGAAGAGAGATAATGTTGGCACCAGTGTCTGTGACATACAGCCCAAAACGATCTCCAAAAGAAAACCTCTCTCCTGGATTTAGCCATTTGCTTAGCAAAAATGAAAACACAGTAACAAGGTACGAGGCTTGCAAATACAGTTGTGTTCTGAGCATTACTATAGCTGCAGTATGTTTATGCAGGCTTAATACTGCTCTTTCTTGTTCATTAAAAGTCCTAGAAAATGAGTCATGTGAAAATATCTGAATATACAGCTAAGTTTAATCCTGTCAAGAAACATGGGAGCTTGGCCCGCTTCTGAAAGAAAGTCACACAAATGGGGTATTTTAGTGATGCAAATAGGAGTATATTGAGCTATGGCACTATGAGCAGAAGCAGAAGACTTGCAGTGCTGTGGGATAGAAATTGTTTTTATTAAAAACCTGCTTATTTAACCAAAACGTGAAAAAGTAGAAAATACAGCATTGCTTGATACGTGATTGCTAGCTAGTGATAGTTTTGTGCTTCCTGCTCTGCAGATTTGATATACTTCTAGATGACCTGGAAGCTGGTCCTACATCTACTTTACAGCACAATAATACAAGAAAAAGGCTCCAGTTCCTCTCACTAGATGATACAGAAGGTAATCTATCAAAGTGGGGGGAAACTTTCTCTATTGGTAATAGCTGCTTAAATAGAAAGCTGTCACTTTTATCAAGTCCAACTTTTAAAAACCCTCTAAATCTTGTCTTATTCTGTAGACAGAGAAGTACCATTCATATAGTATTTAATTTTTATGTATATGTGTATATGCACAAACAAAATGGAACAGCAATAATGAAATGAAGAAGGGCAGCATGTTTTCCTATGCTTAACTCAGTTACGCAATGCATATCTTAGTAGGATCTGTATAAAGATGTATGTACTCGGGGATACTAATAACTTTCTGTTGCTAAACATCACATTACAGATAGCCAAGAGTAACTATAATAAAAGCAGTTGTTTCAGATGTTTTAAATGATTGATTAAACCAAATCTTTTCTCACTTTTGTAAATCTTGTCACTATGTTCTGCTTTTGTTTTTATTAATGCATTGATTTAGAGGAGTGTTTTCATGACAGCTATGATATTTAGTGATATTTAGAAATGTTGTAATAGTCAAAGTTATTCCTATTTGGCACAGTACAGTAATCAGTTTGCTAGCCAAAAAATGTGCTGTGTTATAAAGATCACTTGAAAGATCATCTGTATAAATGTTTTCCATTCTTCTGGGAAGCTTGCCTATGGCAAGCTAGCAAGGCTTTGCTAGTCACTCTCCTTACTTTATGTACCTCTAATATCACTCTGCTTTTCTTGTCATTAGCTTATTTTTCTCTTCTGTGTAATAATTTCACAATTACAAAACGAATAAAAAGACCCCTATTTTATTGATAGGAAGGCAACACTCAGGTGTCAGAGACAGCTCTTGTGCTGAATCCATCAATACTGGACTGAAGAAAGCGACAGCCTGGGACGAGAGGAGTGTAGCACAGAAATATGAGCCAGTGCTGCCTGCTTGCGAGGGGGACTTCAAATACACAGCAAGGATTAGGACTCTGGCTGAAACAGAGAAACTTTTTGATGAGCTAACTCAGGAAAAGCAACAGGCAAAGATTATTCTTATTTTAAATTTGTAATGAAACATAGTAGTTGTATGAGAGGTGAGGGGTGTAGCTGTGCACCCTGCAATGCATGGCTGAAATTCATGCATAATTTCTAGTGTTACCATGGGAATGGGCCATTATCAGTCCCTGCTCTACTTCCCATACTCCAATCCTTTTCTGTCCCTAACTTCCTTAAAGGAGAGTCACTTTAACATAAGCACAGGGTGAATGGAAGGGTTAAAGTGAATTTGATTTTCTTCCTTAATGGCCAGTGATTTAAACCAGCCTTTCAAATAAGGAAGGTTATTCTGGCAAGTAAGAGTGCTCCCTTCATAGGATCCTAGAATGGGTTGGATTAGAAGGGACCTTAAAGCTCATCTAATTCCAATCCCACTGCCACAGGCAGGGACACGTTCCATTAAAGCAGGTTGCTCCAAACCCCATCCAGCCTGGCCTTGAACACTTCAAAATGACTCTTGGGAGAGTCTGCTTATGAATGTTAACTTCTGTATCTGTGTGGTACAGCACAGTATTATGGTAGCATACTTGTGTTTAAGAACAAGACTGAATGTGTCTCTGTAATCTATATACCTCACCTCTCGCTTTGTAAAATGAGTTAGGAAGGCTTATGCTGGCTCCTGAAACTACAGTTTACAGCTGAAGTATTTTCTATTACTAGATTGAGGCTGCATTGAGTCGAATACCTTGTTCTGGTGGAAGAATGACCTTGCAAGCAAGATTAAATCAGGTGAAAAAGCTTCTACATCTGGCTGCTCTCTTATATTGCTCTCCCACAATTTAAGAATATAGAGTGTAGATGAAAGTTCCACTATAGTAAGTTCAATTACTGTGGGAACTTTTCCATATCACTGAGAGGTGTTCCTGAATATGGCATATAAGGAAAAAGTATGTGTGTGTACATGTATAAATAGTACATAGTGTATATTCTGCATAATAACACTGTTGATATCTTCTGGGGTTTGTACATGGGATGCATTTTCCAAATTACTACAAGAATAATCTGTTGTTGCTGTAACACTGAGAGGCACATGAAGGCAGTACATTGAGGCAGTAACTATGAAACAGATCCCTGCAGCTGTTGTGCTGTAGAGGAAAGTGTAAAGTTTAGTGGTTGGTTGGGTTTTTTTTGTCTACTTGAAAGCATAAAGAAGAAAGCAAGAAGGCAAAAAGAAGTAGTGTAGGTGGAATACAGGAGAGGCCCTTCTTTAGAAACCTCTGCAGACTCTTCTAGTGTAAAACAAGCGTCTCCCAGTTGTGTTCTAGAGGTCTCTGCAAAGCCTACAACTGCAGCAGTTCCTAAGTGGGGATCCTAGGACTTGTAACCAATTTGAAAGTCCAAGTGCATTCCAGTGAATCAATGTTACCCCTCACTGCAGCATTTCCTGAATGTGTCTCCCTCATTATCAACCTGGCCTAATTCCTGTCAGGTTTATCTAGAAGTCATGTAAAAGTTTAAAAACAAACCCAAAATACCTAAAACAGTTTAAAGGAAGCCAAAGACCCACAAGTACACACACATACATAAAAATAATACAGGTTTGTAGGTCTGCCTCTAGTCTGTGGGTGCTAACAGAACGCTAGTAAAGGATACTGTGATACTGTGATACCAGTGGAATATAGGAATAACAGTAGTTTCTTCATTTTAGAATGATCATTGCATTTTGGTTTATGTTATTAAATCCCTTTTTTTTTCCCCTTTCTTCAACTGTTTCCTTTAGGAAGCTCTGGAAGATCGCTTGGAAAGGATTAATAGAGATTTGGGGTCAATACGCATGATTCTGAAACGATTCCATGTTTTACATACCTCTGCAAACCTCTGACAATTCTCTCTTTGAATGCAAATATGCTTTTTTTTTCCCCCTTGCACTAATATGTAATTATGCACTCAGTAAATGCAAATGGTTTTGTATTTTTCTAAACCCTCAATAGTAGTTTTACAACCATGTTACCCTTTACCAAGAGCAATATTTTGTACTTGGAGCCACCTATATTTTGAACATATTTTTGTTACACTTGAGAAAATCAATGTTTATCCTGTATTGTAATATTTTTAGAAATATTAATTATTTTTAAATAGTGATATTGAATTTATAAGAAGAATATGAAACTAAAAGGCAGCTTGTTTTCAGAAAATGAGTGTTACTGGTTTGCACTGGTTTTCCTCCCCATTTTATAAGTATTTATGGTATGATGTAAATATTAGCCAATAGGAAATTTTGATCTTTAATACAAAAAAGCAACCTGAATTACCTGTGTAAAAGAACTGTGTTATGTTGTGAATCCTTTTAATTTCAACCCTATAACACGGGTACCTTTCTTTGTGACAAAACTGTGAGCAACACTTTCACTATGGTTGGTTGGCTGCAGAATGAAGTGTGTGTTCTGCTGGTCTGGCTGCATTAGGAAAATATGGCTCTAAATGACTTGATGTCTCCCAACAGTTGCAGTGAGTAGTGTTTTGCTACTGCAGGTACCGGGATCCGTGGGAGCCTTCCCATCTCGACTCCAGCCACCTCTCCAGGACTGTAACTATTCATCCCGAGCTACTGTTTTAATGAAACAGGCTAGGTTTTGTGCCATGCCAGTGTTCTGGTCACCTCCATTCCTGGATCAAATCCAAGCTGTATTTGTGAACACACATGCATTTTTCTGGGTGAAAACAATACATATTTGCTATTGGCCTATTGCTGAATGACAGTCCAACTTTGATAGTTTGTATTTTAATATCAAATAAAGGTTTAATTAGATTCTTTCCTCCTGCCCAAAACCATTAATAGGTTCTGGAATATTACATCAGCCATTACGTAGGTTTTAATCACATTGTGTGTTTCAACTTCTGTCCTTGTTCAAGATGTTTAGCCACCAGTGATGTGATTATAAGGCCGGAATAGCTGTCATAAAGGAAGATGCGATTGGGAAGATGTGATTCTAAAATTAGAGTCCTGTCATTTAAGGTATTTGATGAACTGTCCTACCCCAAAAATGATATTTCATTGCAGCCACTTCTGCCCTGCAGTTCCTTCAATACATAGTCAGAGTTGAGGGGAAGTCAAGGGTGTTGGTTGCTGTTTTTACCCTTTAAAATATACAAATTGGACCTGAATACTTAGAGTTAACTCAAATATATCTCCAACTGCACTAGTAGCTGTACAATTTTGATGGTATTCCATATTATTTGTAATTTTTACTTAGAAGGGGTTGAAGGAGGAAAACCAAATCTTGACTTCCCTCTGCAGCTCTGCTGTTCAGCTGAAGAAGTTTCCCCTCCATTTAAAGTTATTAACAGGTTCAGATTGAAAGTGTTCTTCAGAAGGATCAATTACCTAGCAGGATTTTTCCAAGGAATCCAGCACAGGACAATTCCAGGAGTCCACTGTTGTGCTGATGGAGGAAAACAACACCTACAGCAAAAGCAAGCACAATTTTCCTGACAGATGTTAGGAAGAAGCAGGTAAATCAGTTCAGCTTCTGCTGCTCTCTCCCCTCGTTCAGTCCCGTGCTGTTCCTAGTCATGTCATCTTTTTATTATTACAAATTGTGAGTCAGAATTTATTTTTTAATCAAAAGCCCTCCTCCATCTGTTGGAGCTCTTCAGGCTATTTCTGTTCTATTCTAACACTGAAGGAGGAGGGGAAAAAAGCCCATCTAAGTGTTGTTCTTGGTGCGCTTCTAGGCCAGCCTTTGCAGATAGGTCTGGTGGTGGGTTGACCTGCCGGCATGGTGCCTTTGGCCTGGTTCCTGAGGCAGAGCTGCAGTTCCAGCTGAGATCAGTGGGAGGCCGGAATGCTCAGCGCTTCCCAGCATCCGACCGCACGCATCAGAAGCGAGCGCGGAAGCGGGTGTTCGCCGTGGGAACGTGACTGCGCTTTGCTGGGCAGCTTTTTAATCCCTTTAACGATTCTTCCCCTTAACATCAGCAAACTGGGGACAAATAAGGGCTTTTAGAGACCCAGAAGCTTGTGCTTGCCCTGAGCAGGACTTCAATCACCTTCCTCTAGAGTTCTTACCCCTGCCACCTTGCAGCTCTGTAGGTGTTTATTACCTTTCCTAATCCATTGGGTTTTGCCTGGAGCCTCAGGCTTTGGTCTGCCTGCCTGCTCTGATGAGACACGTGTTGTTTCCTCTGGTAATGATAAACATTACAGCTCCTTCCCCGAGAGATTTAACCTTTGGAAAAGAGCATTTCCATCGGTCCGCATCTCTAAAATGCAAGTTAGAAATGGGGCCTCTTTGCCGCTGATGCTTCAGGGGCGGGAGCCTGAGCCATCAGCTGGTGAGTTTGGAATTACCCTGCTCTACCCAGGAGCTGGAGTGGAGGAGGAGCGCTGAGGTGATGTACCTTAAGGAGAGAGAAAAAGCTGAAAACTGGCAAATTTGACTGTTTTTTTTCCCCTCTAATACCCCTTAGTGATTGTTTTCCACTCGTTGCAGCGTGCACTCAGGCTCCAAAAGGTGCCAGGGGCAGGGTTGGGCCGGGCCTTTGCCCACTGGGGCCTCTGTGACTCGGTAGCCGTTGTTACCATCCCTCCGGCCGGGCCCCCTCACCCCGACCCCGCCGCGCTCCCCGCGGCCCCGGTGCCGGTCCCCACCGCGGCCGGCAGGCGGCGCTCCGGTCCCGCCCGCCGTGCGGGAGCGCCGGCCCGGCTCGGCGCGGGGAAGGAAGTGGCGGCTCGGCGGCGGTGGGCACGGCTCGGGCGGGCGGATAAAGCTGCCCGGGCGGCGCGGCAGGGCAGGAGCGGGGCAGAGCAGAGCCGGTGCCGGGGCTCTTCGCCTTCCCCGCTCCTCCGCTCCCCTCCCCTCCCCTTCCCGCAGCTGCGGCGGCCCGCCCGCCTCGCCTCCCCCCGCCTCCGCCGTCCCCGCGCCGCGGCAGAGCCGGCGGGTGAGGAGCTGCCTGCGCCCGGCCCACCCTCGCCGGGGATTATGCCAGCGGAGCGCGGGCATGTCGGCAGGCAGCCACCCGTAGGCAGCGGCAGCCGCCGAGCCGCCGCGGCATCAGCAGCACCAGCGGGAGCCGCGGCCGCTGCGCCGGGAGCAGCCGGTGCGTGGCAGGGGGACCCGGGGGGCGGCGGGGCGGGCACCCCGGGCAGGGCCGGCAGCGGGCCTGAGGGGAGCGTGAGGTGAGGGGCGGTGGGGGTAAGGCCGGGCCCGCGGGGCGGCCTCAGCCTCCCCTGAGGGGCCGGGGCGGCTCGGCGGGGCCTCGGCGGGCGGCGGAGGAACGGCCCCTGCGGGCCGCGGCGGGCGGGCTGGGTCGTCCCGCCCGCGGTGAGCGGGATGCGGCGGTGGTAAAAGTTTCTCCAATAGAGGAGTGAACGGCAGGGAGGGACGGGTCTGCGGGCGCCGCAGCCATAGCCGCGGGTGCGCGGCTCCTCGTTGCTGCACGGGTTGTAACGAGAGGTTCGTTATCTCTAACGTACCCTGCGGTGAGGTGATGGGGTTTGGCTGTGGTGCACCCCCCTCCGCGCTCCCTTCTCTCCGTGCTGGCTCTCTGGAGGCAGCAAACACCTTTTCCCTCTGCCCTGGGTGGCGGTTTGAGTGCCGGGGTTGATGGAGTCCCCCCCACACCGGGCTCCTGGCGCGGCGGAGGGAGCGATTCTCGGTCTGTGGTGGCTGGAGGTGCACGAAGCCGGGCTGGATGTCAGGGAACGGTGCCGGCTGCCTTCAGGCGCCGTCCGTGTGAGGCCAGAGCGAGCCCAGCCCGAGGGAGAGCCTTCATCCTGGCCGCGACCCTCCTCCTCCTCCTTCCTCCCTTACCGCATCTCCCAGGGTTGAATTCCAATGGGTTCCTCTATGGCAGAGGCACCGGGATGAGGCCTGTGCTGTGGTGGGGGCCCTGGGATGAGGCCTGTGCTGTGAGGAGGGCAGGAAGGCGCTGCCCGGGGCTGGTCTCCCCGCCTGTGGTAGGGGAAGAGGGGTGAGAGCTGCCCTGGCCTCATGGAAGGAGGAACTTGGCTGATTATGGCTAAGGAAGAACCGTGTGGGCTTTTGGGGCTTGAGGCTCCCCTGCGGTCAGTGAGCATCGCTGGAAATCAGCCATGATCCCCTTGCGAGGGCAGGAGCAGGAATTTTCCCTTTACAAAGAGCAGGTTGCCCATTCCTTATCTGGATGATGGGCTACAAGAGGGGATCCTCTCCTCTGGGCCTGGCCACCCCTTCTCACTTGACAGACTGGTGTTCCCAAATGACCCTGGGCTCCATTCTGTAGAATGCTGCTGCCCCATGGCAGCAGGCATCAGCACGAACAACTTCAGCTTCTCCTCCGTCTGTGGGAGGGTTAAATCCCTTCCTTCACCTGCTCCCCAACCCCTTTCGCTCCACTGAAGGAGCCCAGAGGAGTGCACTCGACATGGGGCTGGAGCATCATTAGCAGAGCCCCTCAGCGTAGCGCCCTGCTCAGTCAGCCACTCCATTCAAACCTGTCACATTTCATGTTAAAATGCCACGATTGAGGCAAAGTTTATTTAAATTGTGTATTGAAGCAAAAAGCAAAAGTTTCTTCTTCTGTGAGTACCTGCTCTGAAGTGAAAGCTTCCATCTTCTATGGGCTCTGTGTGTCTGGAAGCAGCTAAGTGGGTAACACGATGCCAAACCCCATCTTTGAAGACATAATCTGCATGTGCTCAGCTCTGTACATGACACCGGTTCAGCAGGACAATGGCACTAGATTAGTCTTTGCAGACATCAGGATTTAAACAGGAGATGGCTTGATTGCACGTCGCAATGTCTATGGCCTGTAGGATTCCTTATCCTCCTATTCCATACTAATTCCCTCTCCCTGCCCACATCTTTCTCCTCGCGCTGTATTTTTATCACGTAGTTTATTTTTGTCGTGACTGCGTGGTGCTCCTGAGTAACACAAGAAGACTGACTGCGTTACAGAGTTCAGCGCTGCCTTCTGAGTGATATTTTCCACTGGTGAATAGGAGATGGCTGTTTGCAGGGCAGGCTTTCTCCCGGCCTTTGGCAGACCTCATGCCTGCAATGGTCAATAGATCGCTGTATGCCTGGTTATTCTGACAGGTAACCACCTCGTTGTTTTGACCCCGTGCTGCTGCTTGGTAATTGAAATGCCTCCTCGGGATATACGGAATAAAGCATGGCCAAGCATGAAAGCACAGCTGCAGGCTTGTCCTGGCTTGCTGTTTCTCACAGGAATGCTGCTCTGTGGTCCTGGCAATGTGTTCTGATTGTGGCAGCATCTCCGAGAGGGAAAGTGAAAGGAGCAAGCAAGGGCTGGATATGCAGCTCATTGTGCTTCTGGCTTTGCTAGAGCAGGCTGCTGGTAGGTTGCTAGGTTTCATTGATCATATTTAAGTTTCTGTCAGTAACTTTTAATTAAAAACATGGTTGATACCACTTTAATGAATGTACGGATGTTAGCCATCTTCATGCATAAAAATGCTTTTTAATTCCCTTACTATTCCCTTTATGGCCCTTAGATGCTTTTGTTACCATTTAAACAGCATACAGTAGCAGCTGTTTATCTTCTTAATACAACTTTTTCATGCATCTGCGTTGAGGAAACAGTAATGGTTTGAGTAAACAATTCCCTGGTATCCTTTAACAGTATATTTTTAAATAACTTGGCAGAAAGGGTTATAAGTATGTCAAAAGAGTGAACTCCGAGGCTCTTGTTGCTGGTAGCCCTATACCTAACCTAACTCTGCGTAAGTTGTTAGCTGCTCCTCATGCTTACACGGGGTGATGAGGAAAGTAAGAAGCTCTCAATGCACGACTTTTGATTCTGAGGAGCTTAA